GTCCACGAGAGGGTTCAGGTACTCCATTCAAGTAGGACAGCTCTAGAAATTGCTCCTGGCAGATATCATCCATCATATCCTGGGAATGAAAGATACAAGGAGTACTGTGTGATATCTACACTTTCAACTGAGAAACCATCTGGCCCACAGGAGTCTTGAATTCTAAGAACAGCTTTGAGAGCTCAGATGAGGTCTCAGGTCATTCATTCTCTGAAGTCAAATGGCACCATACCTGTCGCCTCTTTGAGAAAAATCTTGATGGCAGACCCCTCATTATTCATAATGTGATCCCTGCCTAGCTTTCTGGATCACTTCCATTCTCTCTCTCTCTATAACCTCCTCATGAGCTAGGCTGAACGACTTGTAGTTCAGAGCCTGGCATACTCTTACACATCCATTCTTTGCAAATAGTTCCTTTTCCTGGAATAATAAAAGCCACTACCATTAACAGAGCTGTATGTACTTGGCTGTATATAATAAGCTTCATGTAAGTTTTTCAGTTTAATCTTCAAAATGACCTTGAAGTAGGCAGATCTCCACATTTTACAGTTAGGAAAACAGACTCAAGAAGTATAAATCAACCAGCCTAAGAACATAGAGCTAATAAATGGCAGACTCTAGATGTGAATTCAGAATTACCTGTCTCAAAATCTAGGTGTTGGATTAACAGGCTATATTTTCTTTTTTGTCCACCTGAGGGACTCTTAACTCATCCTTACAAGACTTGTCTAAATAAGTGTCTCTTGAAAAGCTTTCTCTTGATGCCACCCCTACAACTCCTCTTTTCCCAAACTGCCATGTAATTCCCTGTATCCAAGCACTTACCATATCATTTTAGAATTGTCTGTCACACATTGTAAGCTCTTCAGGAGCCATTTTTGTACCTTTATACCCAGGCATAGTGTCAGACATCTGCCAGATATTTAACAAATGTTTGGGATGAATAAGGAACCTGAAGCTCAGAAAAGTGAAATGATAACCTGTCCAGGAAGACACAGAAAGAGAGACACATGTAGTCTTGTGTTCTTCCTACTGCACTGTGAAGCATTCCTGGTACAATTAATGGTTCTAAGGAGAAAATGGAGGGCCTCTGGTTTACAGATGCAAAAATAGCCTCACTTTTTTTCTCCACGAGAAGGAAGAATAAAGCCAAATGCCATTTGTAAATCTTTTCACTATTCCTCTTGAGAGCCAGTCTTAACACTTTATGCATTATCATATATCCTAGGCGTATACAGCTTCAATAGATGATTCTAGTCTTTGATGGCTCCCTCAACTCTCCGCCTCCTCCTACTTTACACTTTACCTCCTCCTACCTTGCACTGTGCATCTCAAATCAAGTATTACTGCTGCTTCAGATGCATACCTTGGAGAATCAAGTAACCAATGCCAGACCACTGCTCAGACTCCTCCAACAGGCATCTTTTTCAAAGGACTGACTTACACGGAAGCCTCATAAACCTAACACTTTGAATATGCTGGAGACTAACAATAAGGAGGAGATGGGCATTCTGTCTGCAGTCCTTTGGAAACTGGATGGCTTGGGTGTTCAACAGAACACCCCAAAAAGAGTAAAAAGAATTCCCCTGAGGAAAGATTAACCAGCTATGTTTTTCTCTAGAATATTTCAAATAGTCTGTTTCATGTTCAACATTCTAATGAAGATGAGGTACTTGAAAACAAACCAGCTGCTAAGACATTTGAAACTACTGGACTCCTTGGAGTTCGGCATAAATTTTTGCTCCGTCAACTTTCACATCCTCTGACACCACATTTAGTTGCAGCTCCCTCATTTAACATTCAGGAAAACCAAGGACTGTATCTTATCTCCTCTTAGTTTAATGATGAACACATGACACTTAATTCTAGTTGAATAGTATTCCAAATCCTTCATAAGGTTGCAGGTTCATCCTTGTTATTAAATATTCAACAGTAGTATGTTAACTCTGGCAACCACCAAGCTTTGCTAAAAGGCAAAAATAGTACCATTTCCTATTTATTCAAAGTAATATTCTGACCAGGTGGTAATAAGCAAGATAGATAAACTGGCCTGTCCCATTTCTATCTAGTCCTCAGTTAGTCTGAAAAAAGCTGCACACCTATCTGTTAAACATCGACAGTCAAGCCTACAACAATCATGCCTCTTCCAAAGCAAACTCCTCCAGTAGAGAAATCCCTGAGAGTGCTCAGGTCAGAATTCAATCCAATAACACTAAATGCTATAAGCTTCTCGTTGGTAGCCTATATTCTCTATAGCATAAATTTATTGAGTACAGGGACCCACCTTAGTCATATTCTTAACACAATCTCCTTGTTCCACACTACTACCAAAATACTCAGCTAGGTAAAGACCCTGTCAAACCTTAGTTAACCAAATATCAGAAAGCAGGCACACAGTGGACCCAAGATACTGACAACAGATACTGGTACACAATGAAAACCACATTAGACAAGGAGGGATAGAGTGGCCTTGGAGCATAATGCTTTGAGAACTAGGTACAAGTAATGAACTACCTCAGGAAAATGAATATAAATGAAGAATTTGGTATACATACAGGTTATACAGAGATCTTAGTTAAGAACCCCGGCCTTCACAACAGCCTAAGATTACAGTTCTCTTTTGCTCAGAAGACACAGAATATGGATTTCCTTACCGGTACCAGAAATTTCTTGACTTCCTCCATGGCATGGGCCATAAGAGCATATGCCTCACATGGGGGTCCAAAGACTTCAATGAAGACATGCAGATCCATATTCAAGTGGGCATATTTGGGGTCTCCACCTTTGCGCAGCTCTTCCTCCTATGGAAAAATGCAGAGAAATGTCATATCACATGGACTACGCAGAAAACACCTTTACCTCTAACCCAAAGGAACAGCAAGAAATAACCCTAAGGTCTAAGAGAAACAGCAAAGTTTAACTGCGATGAGTTGAGAAAAAAAAAAAAAAAAAAAAAAAAAAAAAAAAAAAAAAAGAAAAACAGGAAAGTTAAAGTAAAACAAGAGGCCAGGTGCAGTGGCTCACATCTGTAATCCCAGCACTTTGGGATCATGAAGTCAGGAGTTTGAGACCAGCCTGACCAACATGGTAAAACCCCATCTCTACTAAAAATACAAAAATTAGCCGGGTGTGGTGGGTGTGGTGGCGTGTGCTTATAATCCCAGATACTCAGGAGGCTGAGGCAGAACAATTGCTTGAACCCAGGGGGCGGAGGTTGCAGTGAACCGAGATTGTACCACTTCACTCCAGCTGGGGCAACAGAGCAAGACTCTGTCTCAAAAAACAAACAAACAAAAAAAGACTAAAACAAGCTCTGAAAGTAAAATAAGCTGTGAAGAACAGTAATTTGCACAACCTGCTAAACGTGCACGTGGTCTGCTGCTAACAGCTAATTGTGGTCTTAAATCACTGAGATATCCACTGGAGCTCTTATTAAAAGCATAAAGAAGAAAAACTTAACTCTAGTCTCTATTAAGATAATAGCTGTTTGCCAAGCGTTTGTTTTTAAATCTCGGGTAGAGCTGTTAATCACCACCAGCTCTGCTTATCTGCTTATATGGTCTAGGGAGTGTTAAGGGAAGAAAGAAGTCAGGATAGAGAGAATAAAAGCTCATGTAAATCTCATTAGCTAGAACAACATACTTCAGCCCTAACTATATTCATCTAGTTAGGAACAGCTTGAGAAAACAAAACACATGTCCATTAGGCTATATAAAAGGAGGATTGAAAGAACAGGTTTTCGGACTGTAGCAGGTGTACTTCATCTAATAAGGTGACCCCAGAAGGCTAAGACTATTCTGTTTTGGTGGGAAGTTTCTTGGCATTTACATAGTACACAGCATATGTGGCCATGGCATGGGAAAAAAAAAAGGCACATTAGATTCTGTAGTCAGGATTACTCATGGTTTCTTTTGGAATACATTCTTTTAGTGAGCCTCACGTTCCAGCTGGCTATAAAACAAACAAAACCAACTAATCCTCAAACTCATCTGCTCTCACAACACTATTGTTCTCACTTTTCCAGGTTACAAGAAAGGGGGTGTGCTGTTTGCATTTTAGTGTCTTTTGTCTGCTTAGACTAAGTTTTAGTATATCCAGCTCCCCTTTGAAGTTTTGAAGTTCTCACAGACAATCCTACCAATGTGCAAGATGCTACTGCTGTTTCCATTACTATGCAGTCAAAAGTCCAAAAGAAAACTATCGCTAGGGCACACCTAGGCTCTTCCAGGGTTGCCAAGCAAGTAAATTAACTTGGAGTACAATCTCTTGCATCCAACTCAAACTTAAAGGAGCTACATTCTGTACATACGACAAAATTCTTGCTTCCATAGGCATCCATACTGGATTCTGGGCAAGTAGAAGGCATTAGGATGTCCTCTTGCCTCACTAATGTGAGCTTACCTTGGCTTTGTCTCTCATTGAGCCCTTTCCCAACACAGAGATCTTTGCACCAGTCTCTTCCTGCAATCTTTTGATTGTATTCCCTTGCGGTCCAAGAATCTTCCCCACAAAATTGAACTGACAAAAAATAAAGGATTTCTAAATATACTTGCTACTATATAAAAACATTTCCACATAAATTACCTCATTTGATTTTAAACAACCCTGCAAAGGTCGAGTATTATCATTCCCATTTTACTGAAGGACACTGGAGCCATATTAATAAAGCTATTAGCTTAAGGTTATGAAACTAGAAAGTGGCAGTTTCTAGATTTGAATTTGGATTTTCTGATGTATTCTGGCACTCTTCCATACTACACTAAGACCTTTACTATTTTATTTTTTACTTTATTTTGAGACAGGCTCTCACTCTGTTGCCCAGATCAAAGTATAATGACACAATCATGGCTCACTGCAGCCCTGACTTCCTGGGCTCAAGGGATCCTCCTGCTTCAGCCTCCCAAGTTGCTGGGACTACAGGTACATACCACCACACCAGGCTAATTTTTATATTTTTCGTAGAGATGAGGTTTCACTATGTTGCTCAAGCTGTAACTGAACTTCTGGGCTCAAGTGATCTGCCTGTATTGGTCTCCCAAAGTGCTGGCATTACAGGCATGAGCCACTGTGCCTGGCCTAGCACTTAACATACATAAACATTTTTAAGGCAGTGACCTCAGAAGGGACTATAGCACCCCCCTTTGATAGCACGCTTGATAAACTAAATGTAACTAATTGCTTTCCTTAAAAAGGGAAGAAAAAAAGCATTTACTTCAAAGTAAACTTTTAGTAAGAAACAAAATTAACTTCATCCATTGAGGATTTGTGTTATATTTCCTTTTATTTAGATTTCAGATTAGTCTTTTGACAGAGAGCAACTCTTCAGGTTTTAATTTTTTTCTTTGAACTTGGAACCTGAACAATCATTTGAGAAGTAAACTTTTTGATAATAAAAAGATGATTATATTTCCTTCCTGGCCACAGCTATGTTATTAGTTAAGGACTTAGATATTTCAATTGCCACAAACAGTACTGCAACCATGAAAGAGAAGCTTCACAGGCTGAAGTTTCTAAAGCATCACAATCCCCTGGAGTCTTTATTATAGCCCATGACTCTATCATAACTATAAAGATAACTCAAAGATGCAAGGTACTCTCTGCCTTACCTTGGGATACTGCTTGACAGGTATCAGCACTCGTTCTTTCAGTTTCATGTTCTTATGAGAAAATAAATCCAAGTAATTCTCCTCATCATCCTTTTNCTTGGGATACTGCTTGACAGGTATCAGCACTCGTTCTTTCAGTTTCATGTTCTTATGAGAAAATAAATCCAAGTAATTCTCCTCATCATCCTTTTTTGAGTCTCCTTTCTGAATCTTTTCAATTTCTGAATAAGAAAAACAATTTATTTTTGCTCTGGTAAATAAATGCAAATTTTGAAGTCTGTTTAAAGCACTAACATGGAGTACCATATAGTGAGGCCAAACAGTTTACATGAATGAGCCAATTTCAGAAAGAAACTAGCTGAAAGCACTAAAGTTATATGAGGTTGACTAGAAAACCCAAAGCCTGCATCTAATAAAAGCAGTGGGCTCTTCCACACTCACCTGAAGCCTTGACAATAGAGACATTTAAATGTTTCTTAAATCAATTTAACAAAATTAATTGGATAAGATGGGAAAAAAAAAAAGAAACAAAAAATCAAAATCTACATCAAGAAGAAGTATAATCTTACCTTGATGGAAAAAACAAGTCAATAATCTAAACATACAATGTATAATTCCATTAAATTCCACGGTGATATTTGTGCTCTAGATAGTATAAGAGTCTGAAAGACCTTGTTCTTACTCTGCGACTTACTAGTCGTGTGGCCTAAGACAAGCTAATAAAATAACATGTAGATATGCCTAATTAAAGCAAATTTTTCATAAAGTACCTAATATACAGTCACCATTATCTAGCCCAAATTCAGCCAATGCCTAAATGATACAAAAATTGCACCAGGTACTTTATTTGTTGCAACAGAGTTTCTCTCTTGTTGCCCAGGCTGGAGTGCAATGGCACGATCTCGGCTCCCTGCAACCTCCGCCTCCTGGCTTCAAGCGACTCTCCTGCCTCAGCTTCCTGAGTAGCTGGGGCATGTGCCACCATGCCTGACTAATTTTGTATTTTTAATAGAAACAGGGTTTCTCCATGTTGGTCAGGCTGGTCTTGAACTTGCAGCCTCAGGTGATCCACCCACCTCAGCCTCCCAAAGTGCTGGGATTGCGGGCATGAGCCACTGTGCCTGGCCACCAGATACTTTTTTAAAAACTATTTTATTGAAGTATAACTGACATGTAAAAAGCTGTACATAATTAATGTATATAATGATGAGTTTGGAAATAAGTATACACCCAATGAAACCATCACCACCATCATGGCCACAGACATATCCATTGTCACCCAAAAGTACTTTCAATTCACAGGTTAAGACAGTTTCATTAGATAAAACCTTGGCATATAAAAAGATTTCTTATCATTAAGGAACTTCATTCACTGAGTGACTACAAGTGTTTGAGTGCTTCCTATGGCATGAAGAGGCAAATGAAGGGAGAACTATAATAGGTACGATCATTAACCACTGTGGAGGACTAACTACGAGGGTGGCATCTATCTTGCAAAGCACAGGCACAGGAGATACAACAGAGCAAGTTAGACTGGTCTCTGTCTTCACTGTTTATATACTGGAGTTCCCAGACTATAGGGGTTGCAATGAAGTATACAGTTGAGTGCTATCACCGGAGTTCTAAGAGAGATGAGGGCAGAGTGCCCAAGGAAAGAGCAGCAACTGAAAGCTTATGTGGCCCACTGAGAATAGCTTAAAAAAAAAAAAAAAAAAAGTTATACTCCTTAAAATCTTTGGAATATTCTAAACATCAGAGAATGTACTGTGACAGAACATTACATAGTATTCCCATACTATATTCCTATCTTCTATAATTTTAAGACAGTGGTTCTCAAAATTGTTCACTCATCAGAATCACCTAGAAGAGGGCCTGCTATGGGCCCCAAACCCAGTGTGGGATTTGTGTTAAGAATTTGCATTTCCAACAAGTTCCCAGGTGATGTTGATATTGCTGGTCCAGAAACTATACTTTGAAAACCATTGGCTTCAGGTATCTCTGCTCACTGGAACCTCCGCCTCCCAGGCTCAAGTGATTCTCCTGCCTCAACTTTCCGAGTAGCTGGGACTACAGGTATGCACCATCACGGCTGGCTAATTTTTTTGTATTTTTAGTAGAGATTGGGTTTCACCATGTTGGCCAGGCTGGTCTTGAACTCCTGACCTCAAGTGAGCCACCCGCCTTGGCCTCTCAAAGTGCTGGGATTACAGGTGTGAGCCACTGCACCAACCTAACAGTTTTTAAAATAAATGTTTTGAAAAAATGAAAAGAAAAAAAGTATTGAGAGGTACAACTGTGAAATATATAGATGAAGGAAAGTAACTTTGACTCTGACATGCTTTATTGAATTTAGAATTTCACATTGAAGGCTTGTTTGTTAAAAAGCCTAACTTCAGATGCTATACTATACCATGAACAGCACATAATCACTGGCTTTCTGATGATTAAAACTGCTGACGAATTGTAAATATCCTTAATTAAAACCTTTACTCCTATGAGAAACGCTGTAAATGACAGTGCTCTTCACAATCCTATGTTTCACTGCCTCATATAGAAAACAAACATGACCTCACAATTAACGGACTAATGCTTCATTCAACACTACTTGTGAGGGTAACCCTAACCTTTACTGTTTGGGGGCAGATCCTGACTTCTACCCCTTTCCCCCTATTGCTATTATTAACTTCTTCTGATCACTCTTTTTGAGCCTACTGTACCTGACTACACTACTTTCTAAATTCTCAGACCGGTAAACTTAGGCACTCAATTCTCAAAGTCCTAGAAGAACAAAGATGTCACAATTCTAATCTGAGAACATCACCAAGGAACTTTTAAGAATGTGGAACAGGCTGGGAGCGGTGGCTCACATCTGTAATCCCAGCACTTTGGGGGGTCGAGGCAGGTGGATCACCTGCAGTTAGGAGTTTGAGACCAGCCTGGGCAACACGGTGAAACCCTATCTCTACTAAAAATATAAAAATTAGCCAGTCGTGGTGGTGGGCACCTGTAATCCCAGCTACTGGTAAGGCTGAAGCACATAAATCGCTTGAACCCAGGTGACGGAGGTTGCAGTGAGCTGAGGTTGTGCCATTGCACTCCAGCCTGGGCAACAGAGTAATACTCTGTCACACACACACACACAAAAAGAATGTGAATCAAATTATATACTTCGTTTTATCTATGTCGCTTTGTGCTTCCTAGGGCTACCATCTAGGTCAGACCTTTCAGTTTTATTTTATATCACTTTGCAGAAACCTTGGTCAGTGCAAGACTCAAAGTCTGTTAATCTGTTATACTCCTACAAGAAAGTGTGTTTATATGCAATGTAATGCACTCTGTGAATTTAAGGTCTTTCATTTTCTCTTTTTATTTCTTAAAGACCAGTGTGATAGTATAAGGTCTTTCTATAACATTGATTCTTCTATTTTTTGAACTAGTCAGATCTTAGAATCCTTTTGTCCAACTATTTCACAATTTTTTAAAGAACAGCAGTGGCCAGGCATGGTGGCTCACATCTGTAATCTCAGCATTTGGGGAAGCTAAGGCAGGAGGATCACTGGAGCCCAGGAGTTTGGGGCCAGGTTGAGCAACACAGTGAGACCCCTTCTCTACAAAAAATAACAAATTAGTCCAGCATGGTGGTATGTGTCTGTGGTCCCAGCTACTTGGGATACTGAGTCAGGAGGACTTGGGAGGCTGTAGTGAGCGATGATCATGCCACTGCACTCCAGCCTGGGTAACAGAGTAAGACCGTCCAAAAAAAGAAAAGAAAAGCATTTTTAGATAATTCAGAGAAGAATTATTTAAATAAAACAGAGTTGAAAAGATAAAGAGAATCAGAATTTTAACCTAGAAAGCAAAAGACTGGTTGGGCACAGTGACACATGTGCTTGCAATCCCAGTGCTTTGGGAGGCTGCGGCAGGATGATCCTTTTGGACCCAGAAGCTTGAGACCAGCCTCAACAACATAGCAAGACCCTGTCTCTACCAAAAAAAGAAAATGTTGTGGGGAACAGGAGGGAAGGGGAGGGAGAAATGAGGGAGGGGAGAGGGGGAGGGAGAGAGAGGTGAAGGGAGGGAGAGGGAGGAGGGAGAAGGCAGGAGGGAAATGAAGGGAAGGAGATGGAGAAGAGAGGGAAGAAAAGCAAGCAAGCAGACTGAGAAGCTACTTGAGCTTTCAAGAAGGGCGGAGGGAGCTGGATGCTGCGGCTCATGACTATAATCCCAGCCCTTTGGGAGGCTGAGGTGGGTGGATCACCTGAGGTCAGGAGTTCGAGACCAGCCTGATCAATATGGTGAAACCCCGTATCTACTAAAAGTAGAAAAATGAGCTGGGCATGGTGGTATGCACCTGAAGTCCCAACTACTGAGAAGGCTGAGGCAGGAGAACTGCTTGAACCCAGGAGGTGGAGATCACAGTGAGCTGAGACCACAACACTGCACTATAGCCTGGGTGACAAAGTGAGACTTCTTCTCCAAAAAAAAAAAAAGGTGGAGGGACTGAATTTATAGATATATGTATTTTTTATTGAGACAGGGTCTCACCTTGTCGCCCAATCTGGAGTGACTGGAACAATCATGGCTCACTGCAGTCTCAACCTCCTGGGTTCAGGCGATCCTCCCACCTCAGCCCCCCTCCCCGAGTAGCTGGGACCATAGGGGTGTGCCACCATGCCTGGCTAGTTCCTTTTTTTGTAGAGATGAGGTCTCCCTGTTTTCACCAGGCTGGTCTCGAACTCCTGGGCTCAAGCGATCCTTCCACTTCCGCCTCCCAAAGTGCTGGGATTATAGGCGTGACCTACTGTACCCAGCCCCCCCTACCTTTTTTTTTTTTTTTTTTTAAAGATGGGTTCTCTACTGCCCTGCTAAAGTACAGTGGCACCATCATAGTTCACTGCAGCCTTGAACTCCTGAGCTCAAGGGAACCACACACCTTAGCCTCTCCAGTAGCTAGGACCACAGGTGCGTGCCACCTTACCCAGCTGGGGCTAAATATTTATTTGATGCCTACTATATATCAGATAGTATAGAACTATTATTTCATTAATCTTCAAAAATAACTCAGTGAACTGAGTTACTTACACCTGAGGAAACGAAAACTCAAAGATGTTAAATAACTATCTCTAGGTCACAAAATTGTTAAAATAACAGAGTAAGAATTAAAATCCCAGGCCTGGCTGGGCACAGGGGCTCATGCCTATAATCCCAGAACTTTGGAAGG